AGGAAACAGACCACATACCCAAAGGCAGCTACTCAGCTGCTTGTGGTAGATCCCATCATGGAGCTGATTGCCAGTCTCCTCATGGGGAATAACTACCACCAGCTGCCCAGCCACTCAACCAGGCCCAGCCACGTTGACACAAAAACATAACTACCACAGAAAGTGTAATGCATCTTCTGTGAGTGAGCTGAGAGATCTGAAGATGACAACTGTGTCTTATTCTTGTACCTTGAATGCCTAGCACCATGCATGACACATGTAGTCATAAGCATGAACAACTGCGTAAATGAACACATGAAAGAAAGAATGAGTTCAGAGACTATGAAAGTTTGAAGTGAACAAAGATAAAATCTCTTTGGTTTAAGATTTGGCCCATTCAAGCTCATTCTAGGATGGTGGGCATACATGAGTAAGGACTTTGCACAGGTGAGTAGGGAGAGCATATACAGTCGTGGGGTCCACCTGGGTTCCCACACCTTAAGGGAGATGTTGATACAGCTACTGGATGTTAGAAGTTCACCCTTGTGATCCTTAGCCTCAGACACTAACTGAAGGGTGGGGTCTTGGGCCAAATGCTGGGTCATTTCAACTGGAGCCGGGTGGCTGTAAAGGCGAGATAGGGTTGAGCAGGAAGAAGTTGAGTGGCCATGCCTGTGTGCTGGCTGAGGCCAGAGCACAGGGAGGAAGGGGCTCTAAGGGGTGTGGTTTCTTGAGAAGAGGTGGGTGAGGGGAAGCATTGGTGTGGCTTTAGGAAGCCTGCAAGAGGGAGTAGGAGTCTAGAGAGAGCTGGTGGGTGAGTAGAGACAACACTAGGAGAGACAGAGAAAGGGATAAAGATATGGAAATTGGCAATAGGGAACGGCTGGAGGTGCTCGCTCTGTGTGTGTGTGTATGTGTGTGTGTGGTGTGCACTCATGAGAAAGTTCTCATGTGTGACCACAGGAGCCCCTCCCTGAACCCAAACTTGCAATTTGCATCTTTTTTCCCCATCACTCTGCTATGACAAAAATAATGTTGCATGTGAGCATTTATGAGGTTACTTGCAAGAGTGAGCATGAGTGACTGTTGTGACCAGCCAGGAGTCTGGGAGACAGAGGCAGGGTGCCAGAGTCAGTGCATGAATGAATGAACGATGTGAGTTTACAAGAACTGCATTGTAAATGTGTGTAGGGCCCGAGACCCCCTCCCTAGCCCCAGAGCCTCCTCTGTAGAGGATTCTACAGAACTCTGAATGTGAAGTTCTAGAAACCTCATACTAGCCTTCTAGATGGATCCCCTGGCTCAGGCTAGGAGGTACCCCATTGGACCAGTTTCTGGGAGGATCTGACTCTGGCAACCCTTCCTGGCTGGGGGGCCCCAGACTGGGTGGAGCAGCCACACCTGCCTGAAGTTCTGAGGAAGAGGGCGGAAACAGCCACGGGGCCACCCTTGTGATAGGCTCTGTGGGCCCCTGCGGTCTGCTGGTCATGGTGGGTCCCACAGTTTCCTCACTTCCCTAAATGGGCAACTTCACTTTCAGAACCCCAGGTCATGCCCTGCCAGAACCAGGTGGCACAGTCTTGTATCAGCCTGGAGCCCTAACCTTGGACCTTCAGGGTGCCCTGGCCCCTGTGACTGTCTCCAGCTGTATGGAGCCATGGCCCCCACATTCCTGCTGCTGCTGCTGTGGCTACAGGGTAGCATCTCAGGTGAGAGGGGAAT